CATCTGCAAAACACCAACAGGGACACATAGCTTGGAAGGTATTTTACAGCAATTTCGAAGGTATTGACGCCATCAAAAGGAACCCCATCAGGACTCCCTTACTCCCTCGTATCACGAAGACTAGGCAAATCCCTGTACTACCCATCATTCCCATGGTCGCTGAACGATCGCAGTGTCAGGGTCCCTTCTAGTTCATTTTAGGAACCTCTATGGCTGCTTACAAGCGCGTGGCATTCGTTGAAAGTTTTGTGTTTGGCCACAGTGCAGTCTTGTTTCTTATTTTAAAAGATTTCTCGATGCAGACCGGGTTGAAGGGCGTCACAGTTTTGTGTGCTGACGTGGTAGAGAGCTGCCCACGCTAGGTGGCAATGATTGCACCCTGCGGCTTTTTGTTTTTGTAGCTCTCGAACTGAAACTGGTCGATAATGAGGAGGTTGTAATTAATTAACTGTCGCATACTGCAGCGAGCAATGTGCGGTGTTGTGACTAACAGGCCCCAAGCAATACTTTGCAGCAAAAAAATACAAGAATGCGAGGCCAAAGTTCTGGTGTCAGTACCCTTTTAACAGTTTAAATGACAACAAGCTTCTTCCTTAGCGGAGGAGAGATATTGTGTGCACATTATATTCAGTTCTGCCTAGAAAAACTGCCTATTTAAATGAAACTATGGAAAAGATTGCGAATGCCTTGATGTTATTTTCGTGCGCCTTAGGAAGTATGACCCATCGCTCTCAATCTTATGGGAAGTGCTGAGGGCCCTTTATCTGCTCAGCTATGAACAGGCTTTAGTAGAACGAGGTTTCAGTATGAACAAATTGATTATGGTTGAAGGTACGGCAGAGCTCTCCTATATCTCTCAACAAGTCATCTGCGAGGCTGCGAAAACCCACAGTGAGCTGCTCAACGTTACATTGTTGAAAGAATTGAAGTGATCAGTGTGCTGTGATAGACGCACATATGCGTTACACATGGATGAACAGAAGAAACAAGTTTGGCACAGCGGGTAACCTCGAAAAAAAGAAAAACTTGAGCTCAAGCTGCAGAGCATGCAAGAGATGAAGACAAAGCTAAATAAATTTTGGAGTGCTTGATGGAGTGAGCAGATCGGTTTTGGAAGACGCCAAAGCGAAAGATGACATGGCATGTGTTGTCAAGATTTCGCCGAACAGCTAAAGAAAAAGAGGCGGGGATGGCTGCACTTAAAAAAGGTATCAGGGCAGAAGAAGGGTTCTTTTCTTAAGTCGCGTGAAAATAACATCAGATTAACACTCCTTTAGTTTACCTTTTTGCGTCCTTGAAATTGTGGGAAAAGTCCTTGAATATACAGCCAAATATTGTGTGCTAACCTTGCTGTGCATGGCGCTCATACACAGTGTACAGAGATATAGTTGGTAAGCATTCTTTTTAAAGAGACAAGGTATAAACACGGACACAAAGAGAGGAGTCACTTGTGATGGCTTGGCTTATCTCATGTTTCTATATTTACGTGCCAAGTCTGTTTAACCGTGCGGAGTGCAACAATTGTTTTGATACGTTCGCTGAGGCATGCTTTTTGTTGACCTGGTTTTATTTGCGAAATGACCTACCAGTGAGCCATTGGGTATATCTCCCAGGTTCGTCGTGACCCTACCGGTCGCACCCGGGCTATGCCTCTATTTTTTGCTTGCACGAGATGGCCCTGCCACCTTTGCAATGGGCGTTTGGCACATCTATTTCAAAGATTAAAAGCTGTTTTCCACTTTGTTTTGGTCAATATATGTTTAATTACAATGTGCTTGACATAGGAAAACAAATAACCTCAGTTTCTGCGCTCAAAATACTTATTAGGTAGATAAAAGTTACTATTAGTAGGAACATATAGTAGGTGGCACTGCCACCTTTGCAGCTGGCATTTGGCTAGTTCATCTTAGATATACAAAGCTGTTTTTCACTTCTTTTTTCCGGCAAATAAATATTTAATACGAAATGCAAGGTGCAAGAAAACAGGCAAAGTCAGTTTTTCTGATAAGTTCGTTTCATTACTTGGTGCTGCCTTTTCTTTATCAGCTGTAAAAGTAACGAGCCTCCATTAGGTGCTCTGAAAATTTATAGTGTAGAAGGGCTAACTTCTACACTTAAATCAATGGCACGTACTTCAAAACTGTGGAGAAAGTTTGCAAGCGACAGTATGGAGGAATGTAGCTGCCACTCAGTTTCTTAGAAACAGTCGCACCACCTCACGTCCAATGCAATAGACCGTATTTATTAGTTACACTTCCGAAATTCAGATGGTAGCACAAAATGGAGAGCTCTCGCACAATGGTCGCATCACGCACAGGACAAAAATATTTATATTGAGAGTGTGGCTCATAGCATTTAACATCAGATAAGTTTTCTCCTGGGCGTGTGTATCCTCCTGCAATAAAAATCATAACTCTGCATTGAAGTATCGTAAAGCTATCGTAGCCGCAAGCAGATATGTGCACGTGACTTCGCTGCCGCACATGGGAAACACAGGCCGTAACTCATCCGTAACCCACAACGCAGTAAACGTGTGTTCCTCGTGCCAGATATTCATTCACCTTTGTTCTGTTTCTTTTGTTTGTGATGATGCAGTTAAGCGGTTAGTGTAGTCAATTTATTCTAGTAATTTTATTTGCTTTACAAGAACTTGCTAGCCTTGCTGAGCATTTGGTGGACAAATAAAATTGTGTGGAAGGGCAGATTGCGTGGTTGAGGAACGATAGACTTTATTTTGTCTCAGGTGACTTCGAAGTGCTTTTAAAATTTTACTTTGGTGCCATTCTATTGATGTTAAAATCAACTTACAGACTCTCTGTTTTACTTTCAATTGTTGCCAGTCTTTATCGGCTTTTGGTCGATGTGTTCATACATAAGGGTCTGTCATGCCAGGTATTTTTTATGCACACAAGTGATGTGTTGTTCATGAAGGGCACTTTTAATAAAAATTTGTGCTTCTGCTTTATCTGAAAGTTTATGCCTCAGTTGGATCATTACAAAAAGCTGTGCAAGCTTTATTGAAAGGCTCTTATACATAATTTGATTTCACGGTAATAAACTTAAATATCTATGTTCAACAGATGATTATTTGAGTTAATATGCAGTGCCTTTCCTTTTCCATATTTCAGCTTATTTGGGGCATTTGGAAGCTATATAAATATCTGATCACTGCATACCAACGCAATTTACACTAAATATGTTGAAGTAGCCAGACATGCTATGAATGTTGTTGAATGTGTTGCTGCTGTGGATCTTGTGGCCTGCACTAATATGTACTCACACGCGCTACCATGTAGTTGCATTGAGGTATTTATTAGTAAATGCAACAGAACAGTAAAGCAACTGAAGAATGGGGCATGTAATTGATTCTCTGGTTCCTCAGTAAAGTGAAGCCCCAAAAGTATGAAAAAAGCTTGAATGTAAAGTGATACACTTACGAAGCCCTGCCCTTCCTTTGGAATTTTCATTGCTTTAGAGGCTGTACAACCTGCAAACTGTGCACCGTGCATAACTTGTTTACTGTGCGGTTGCATTCAAAAATAAGTAAAGCAGCTCTAGGACTTTCTTACAGGTAAAGGCTGCATGGATGACGACATATCAGCTCAAGACACATTTACAGCAAGAGCACATTGAACAGCATCCACGTGTCTGTGGCACAGTCAACATATTTTATGTAAGTGACATTGGTAGTCAGTCATCATAAATGCATGAACACTGCTTCTACATGCACCAAATTAGCGAAATATACACACTAAAGGTGATGTATATGTACTCAAAGAGTCACAACTGTTAATGTAAATATTAGGCTTCTTTGTGTGAAACTAACTGATGCATGGAAGTTTTCTAATAAGGCTTCAAAAATTCAGGATTTATCACGGATGTCCGCTATTAAAATTCGACATGTGTCTGTTAATGTCCAGATTTTCATGTCTGGCAGATGTTTGAATGTTCAAGAGAAACGTGTCCAGGACGTCCGATTTAACGTCTTTTGGTTTGCACAAGATGCTTCGTCAGATATATGCAGTACGTTATCGGCATGTGCGTGGTTGTCCAGTGGATTCTCAAATATCTGGTGCAGAAGATCCACCGATCTATTGGGTATTGTCTGTGTTCTTCCATAGCGAATTGCCACTGGACAACAGAATGCTGTATACCAATACTGTTTCGCAAAAATGTGTAGTATACTGTTTATATACGTTTGTATGCCGGGAAGTTTGATGAACGTAACAACGGAATGCTGTACACCGCTGAAGTATCAGACTGAAGTAAACGCGTGGCGGCTTCATAGCGTTGATTGATATGTGGGGCTTAACGTCCCAAAACCACCATATGATTATGAGAGATGCCGTAGCGGAGGGATCCGGAAATTTCGACCACCTGGCGTTTTTTAACGTGCACCGAAATCCGAGCCCACTGGTATACAGCATTTCCACCTCCATCTAAAATGCAGCCGTCTCAGCCGGGATACATAGCGATGTTTAAATGTGCCGCTCAAATAAGCACGCCATGTATTATACTGAAAAGAGAGGAAAACCACAATAATAAAATGAAAGGATGCGCTTTATACTTAAATGTGTTATTTTGGCATACAATTCCCGTTTACAAGTTGCTAACACTCTGTTGATACGACACTAAAGCGCGCTTGACACAAAGCAAAAACGCTTGAGGCAGGCGAAACTTGACGCGGCATACCAAGAACGCGGAATAGAGCCTGTCGACGTTTAGTTATTGTTAACTTCTGCATGATGCGTTTTTCGCGAAGGTCTGCGCGGTGTCTTTTATGGTAGACGTATGGTTATGAGCCGACTGCTATCCTCAAAGGTTTGAAAATCACGAAAGCACTTTACCGATGTTTGAATTTGAAGGAACACACTGCAGGTTGAGTGACGTCGGCACACTTGCCCAATGGACATGCTCCTCTGCTGAGAGCAGCGAACGGGGCGCCTCCACTGCTGTCGAGCGTCGCGATTGGTCCTTTCCGGCTGCGCGCAAAATTATGCGCAATGCAGCATGCAAACAGGAGTTTGTTGTTTACGCCATTTGTGGCCGTCGTAGTGTTGTGTGATCTTTCTTTATCGCAGTGATATACTTGTCATCCGTATGTGTTTCGTGTAACGTGAACACCTAGGATTATTAACATGTCTGCGAATAACGCGAAAATACCTACGACGGAACGCGTCGTCAAAAGTAAGTTGCTTTTATCTACCTCACTTTGTGGCATCCATAGGCTCGCCCCGGGATTTTTGCTGAGTCCGGCGGCCATATTTGTCGGGTACAGCCCCTTTAAATATGCAGTGTGAGAGTGTGCGGCCTTTCCGTAGTGAAATGTTGGGACGTGTGGGTTGATGTACAATCAGACAACTGCTCAGTGCGCACGCGAGCCGTACGGACGGCAACGTTAAAAGCTGGACTGATCGTCGAACGTTTAAGCCTAACGTTCCCGGTCTTGAACCTTTAAACGAGCTCAGCTGATTGAAAGCCGCTGGAAAACTGGTTTCGCATCGTAATGCGTGCACCGAGCAGTTCAGCGCGTCTCGCTTTTGCGCGCCGCGCTGTGCTTCGTCGGTGTGGAATGCCCAAACGGAGAGCTTTGCGTGTTTAGTATCGCGCTGCGTCACTTTTTAGTCGTTATTGCTTGCGCAGCTTCATGTTCCTCTCGGCTTGTCATGCCGCTGTTTTCATTTCACGGGTGGCGGCTTCGTAGGCGATCCTATTTCGGGGCCCCCCCGCCCCTCCCCGCTGTGGCTGTGTTTACATGCCTCCCTTTAAGTGCAGAGTCGCCACCGACGTCGTTTTCGCATCATTTTTCGCTGTAGGCCCGTATACTCATATTTGGGTCCACGTTCGAGAGTCCCAGGAGGTCGGAAATTTCAGGAGCCCAACACTACGGTGTCTCACAATCATATGGTGGTTTTGGGGCGTTATACCCCACATACCACCCATTGTTTTGGCAGTGACCCGTGCTGTGCGCAGCCGTTCTTCTACAGCTGTCGATAAACTTTCTGATTACTTAGTGTTAGATTATTTAGTGTTAGGGAAGCCCGGGTTTCCCGAGTTTCGCTGGAGTGCCGGAGGGGCTCCGAGCGCAGTGCCTCATTGGTCGACCTCGGGCGTTTTTAGAAACCGCTCTCTGTTCACGCTGAAATAGGCCGTCGTGGCTGTGTTTTCCGCCGCGACCTCCCTTGTCCGCAGGAGCACAATGTCGCGTTTTCGTCAAGAGCGCGTCCTGGCTAGGAGCGCTTAATATCCCACCGGGCTTTGGCCCAGGATGACGCTGAGTTGCCATGTTGGACCCGCGATCATCTTCGGAAAGCTCGCTACCGGTTGGATACCGGGTCGTTAGTACGAAACAAGGAAAAATAACCCAAGGTCGCCGCCGGCTGCTTGCGTTTGCTCAAACCGAACCTACCGGATCGTATAAAGTGAATTTTTGTTTGTCGGTAACGTGAGCGGCCGCGGTGACTCCAGGCGAGGCTTCAATAAAAACGGCTAGCTGGTGCATGAGCATGTCGAACGTTGAATTGGACTCGTTCCGCGAGTGCGACGTGCAGTGTGCTTTCCCTCTATTTCGCAGCAATCGTTTGCTGCGGAAATTCGCGCTTTTACACGACGTGTTAGCCACGATATCGACGCGGAAATGGCTTCCACCTGCGCCACCGTAGCCGTTGGTGGCGTTGCTTTAGATGTGCCGTGTCGTCGTGCTCGTGGCAGGATGGCCTGCGTTCTTGCAGTGCTTCGACTAAAGCACCTGTTGATCGTACTTTGAGAGTAGCGCCCGCGCATCGTTTTCCAGCGCGAGACTACCGCAGGCTTGTGGTGCGTAATCGATATCGCTTGCACACTGGTCGGAGGGCGCTCTTGTCGGCCGTGAGACTACATCTGAGTCTGACCTCCAGTCTCGCCGCGGCTGTACAAAAGCGCCGGTCGATTGCTTCGCTAGCCGTCTGGCTTTTTCGTGACGTTGAGCAGTGACAGGATAGTTATGTTCGTGCCACCTCCCATGCATTCAATCCTTTTGCCCCCTGAAGGATGCACTCAAACTTGCAGCCAGCCTTAACGTACTTTCCATCTGAGAGTCGATGGTATTCATTCGTAGCATCGCAAGTTTCGATGGTGTTCATCCGTAGCATCGAGGACCCATTATCTCGCTTTCAGTACAAATTTCGCGGCCCAAGAACAAGTGAATACCAAAGTCTCTCGAGATCCAATTGAAAAAGTGGATGAGCGAAGCGCAGCAGCTCCCATCGAAAACGAGTAATCGTGCAGAGCTAGGCAAGTTTAAAAGAGATGTAATCGTAATAGTTTTATTATATTTCCGCTGCCCACGCCATCAAAGTAGCAGCGCGGCTCCTCGAGTGATTTAAAAAGCGCGAGCCTCTTTGATTGGAATTTGTAGAAACAGCCGAGGAAAATATGGGAGGTAGAGACGTCGCGTGGTGCGGGCCGCGGTAATGCCGGTCACTTAATATTTTTTTGCGTATGTTTCGACACATTTTTTGTTGATATTTTAGTTTTGTTGTGTGCTAATGTACAGTAGAGACCCTGAAAACTGTGGACTGTTTTAGGGAATCAATCAACCAAATTTTAAAAAAACCTAACCCCCCAACTCGAACAGATTGGCTATACTTCAACCGCGAGTGAACGAATATTGTTTAACATCCATTCCCACAGTTTGTTTCAATGCAATACCCAAATTTCCGTGATCGCCTTCACAATTTTAAATGCCTCCCTGACATGCTGATTGTGCACGCAGGGGTCGCCGACAAGTTTGTATGTACGATAAGCTATCTCTGAAGGTACATGCTTGGATATTGTACTTACCCGTAATGAAGTCACACCTGAAGACGCAAATATCACTGAGGTTTTTCAAGTCGTTTTTTGTTAATCTGCGCCGGTGCTTTTCAGAAAATCGCAATGTTCATTCTAGTTTTAGGTAATAGTCGATAACGTTCGGCAGAGAGAACATCCTGACGCTCTGCTCTCTCTTTGTGGACTGCTAAATCATCTTGCCTCACCAGCAGCTGATAATTGCTCAAACTTGCATTGAGGCAAAGCTGAATACGCGCAAGCACGAGGAAACAACACGGCAGCGGTCGGCGACGGAGTCAGTAGGTACCTGGGCATGACGGTGACGCATTTCGGAAGTGATTAACAGGTGCTGCGTGACGCACATGCACACTATGTATAGTTGGAGCTTAAAAATATGCCGATGCACTGTATGATGGGGAACAAAATAAATAGGGGTTTATTACTATTAGCCAGAGTATGCTGCACTATTTTTTGTGTTCTTTTTAACTGTGTGACTGAGGATTTAAGTAATTAACTTTTGAAGCAATGAATTTGGGAGAACAATGGAGATGAGAAAGTTATAGATGAGGCTGCAAAATGTCTGTTTAGACAGTTGCTTTCTATTGAGTGAGTATTGTTTTTCTGCTTTCTACAGGTGCCCATGTAATACAAGAATATATTGCATGGCATGCCCACTTGCACACAATATTGAAGTACCCCCTAAGTTTCTGCATAAAAACGGCCATTGCATTTGACCATGTGTGCTGCCTTTACAGGCATGCACGATGACACACGTTTTGAGTGGTAAAACAAGCGTTAACCACTGAATCTGTTTATTGTTGTGATGAAATGTCACGAGGGAAGCGTATTGTTTGCACTCGGAACTTTAGGGAACACTTCACTCGAGGCGCCACGCAGGCAGGCATCGAGTATCTTGTATTTTATGAGCCCCTGTAGTAAGCAAAAAAGAGAACACTGAGACAATAACAGGTATCATGTTAGGAACTTTTAATCAGACGATTTGCCAACTGATGTACGTTAAAAAAAATATATATTTTGGCTAGCCAAGTTGCTTTGACAGTTAAACATGGCTAATTTGGCAATAGACCATTTTGAAGCACACAAGTGCCACCAACGGGCACGCAAGCAATCCTGGGAAAAAGTGTGTGCACAGCCGCAACGAGCACGTGGGAGCGGGAGCTTGGCTTTTCACTTGCGCCAAGCGAGACACTGAATTTGGCAAGGTCCAACATATTGCTGTGTGATTCAACCATGCAGGTCAGTGTTCAGCTTATTTGGGACAGCAAACACAACTGTGCCATGTATATGTGTATGTGTGTTTATATATATATTGTTACGTTTATAAATGGGTTTATTACGCTGTGGCGTACTGGGAGGCTTGAAGGGGTCGTGCACCGGAGGCCTATCTCGCTAGCCGAATGTCCTCTTCTCTAATCTGCCTGTTCCCCGCTACCCAGAGGCTCATACCCAAATCACACACGCATATATATATATATATATGCGTGTGTGTGTGTTTAACAATAAACCAGCAGTGTTCAGTTCACTCCTCGTCCGTTCTTTCTCTGTCCCGTGCTGTTAGTTGTAGAAATGCGACACGATTGAAGAATGTAGGGAAGTGACATGACCCCAGGTCGCCTCCCTACATTTATCAGAACATGCAACTTCTTATACACATGTGCAATAATGACAATATGTCTAGTTTCTACTGTATTCAAGGATGGAGGACATTCCTTATTATCTCTCTTCACCTTGCAAACCCTTTTTCAGTTTACAGCTGAAAAATATTGCTTATCTTAAGCGGGAAATTTTTTTCCTCAATGGCAGGCATTAGCATAGCATCACAATTGCTTGTTTGACCATATTCGAATGCGTTAACACGTGAAATGATACACCATTTTTGATGAACCCTGACTATACTTCCTGCAAACATGCTTATTGTGAAACATTAAAGCATGTACGTACAAACTGGAAATTATCAAATCAAGATACCCCGCAAATAAATTAATGAGTTTCCAGGCTACAATGTACTTAATGTCTGCACGAAGTTGTTTTGCGTTTTGACAAACAGTTCATAAATTAATACTACTTGAATTCGACAACTTACGGCTCCGCATGTTCACACATTACCAACGAAGTGACAAAACTATCCAAACTGAAACTCTGAAATTTTCAATATTCAAGCAGCAAGCCCTTCCCTGGGTTTCTATAAGGAGAAAATTGTCTTAAGGTAATTACAAAAATTGTAGGACAGTAGTGAATTTACCTCCTTTTTCTGATTGACATGTTCGTACAAATTTATTTTCTCTTTATAGGCTAATTAACCACAAGTATTGCACATTAGCAGGACTATGTCATGTCTTGTAAATACTAGTGCTCACTAACTTTACCAAGCCAGGCCTGAAACAACAAATTTTAAAGAAATATTCTCTCAAATAATTTTCGGTGGTGGTGCCTTCTGTGAAAGAAATCGTGAAGTTTCTTGCATCAGTACTGAGGTTTATCAAAAGTGACGCTGCTAAACATGACTGCAGCCGAAACAGGTATGATAGATATCTTCACACTTCAGTGTTTAGCCTAGTGGCTAAATGTAGTCTCTACGGCTTCAATGCGCAACGTAACCCCAGAGGGGGTGCTATAAAAAGAAGAGAGAGGGAGCGACAGAAAGAAAAAAGTGAAGAAAGTGTGTCGCATTCCTGACGAGGAGGTTAGGCTATGGTTCTGATGGTTCCAGGACCCGCGTCGTTGCTCGTTTTTATAGCCAGGGGACGGTAGAAGCTTTTTTGAAGTACACAAAGAACTTGACCTTGCCTTAAGACCCGTTGAACATTACCTGGTAGTCTGCTTTCCCTTTGCGGGGAGGTGATGAGTGTTTGGCAGTTTGTGTTTGTGTCATGTGGCATCAGTTGAACGATAGGCCACAGACCCCCAATTTCGATTCCAGTGACTTGAAAATGGCCCATTGAAAAGTTTGTGGATAGTTTGCGAGCAAGTTTGGTGGAAAACAGTCTTGCTCGCATATGTGCGGTAGCTATCTTGTGAGCCGTGAGAGCGAGCCATATTTGCCCGACTGCAGCGAAAAGTGTGAAGGGCTGCGTGAGCTCTAACGTTCCCAGCCGCGTGCAGGAAAACAAACGCTACGTGTTCCGATGCCTCCTGAAGTTTGAAAATATGATTTTCAGCATGTCCTCTTTTCGATAAAAGATGTATTTGCTAGTGTAATAATTCCACTCACATAACGGTAACACGTGTTGCAAATGATGATTGTGTTTTCGAAAATCATTGATATGACTGCCATTTGCTTGTTGTAGTGGGAAACGACTGATCTAGGAGAGGTAGCATGAATAAAGCTTGGAGTGCGAGAAATAGACAAGATGTGCACCATTTACCTCTAGCAAAACTAAAACTTACTAAATAATGTGTTTGCTCATGTAGATCATGTTATCTTAATTTCTAGGCACCCGGCCTTCTCTGACTAATGCGCGGTGTAGCTCATTTGCCCTCAGTATCAACGGCACTGGCTGCCATAGACACCTAGAAAATCAGATGTTCGCTGAAAACGAAGACACGCTCCAGCATGTCCCTTCGATGAACCTTTCCAACGACCGCTCACTGGGGGCAGGCATAAGTGTGGTGTTATTCTCCTATTCCCCTTCCCCGGTTCACCCTCCCAATGACAAATGCGATATCCGGACCGTGTTTTGCAGCTTCCGCTCAGTAAGAGAAGGGGGCCTCAATCATCTAGTGGGCTGTTGGGATACTGAAAATGGTGGAAGTGCAAAGGAGGGGGGGGGGGGATTTAATCTTAAAAAAAAAAAAAAAAATCCCAGTATATCCACGGAGTGAATGATGAGTGGCGAAGCATCCGTAAGCCAGTTCGTGCGACCATCCTTGCGTCCATCCGTGCGACCGTCCATCCGCGCGTCCATCTAGTAAACACTCGGAGTACCGCCATTTCGCATTTTCTGTGGCACATAGCCGCTCCGCGCATCGGTCCGTCTGTCCGTGTGATCATCTAGTGAACGCTCCAAGTACCGCCATCTCTCATCCCCTGTGGCATATACCTGCTCTAGAGCGGGTATGTGCCACCGGTGGGTGCCTATGTCAACATAGGATGGACAGACCCACGCTCCTTAAGAAGCTTTGCCCCTAAAAAAAAAAAACTTGGAATCTTGAAAAAAAAAAAAAAAGTAAGGCTGTGCATGACTTTTCGTGATAGTCAACTCACATGGTGGTGCTATGAGTTGACCATCACGAAATCGGTGAGCAATCGTAAAGCAACCACAACTGTTTCGTGTGGTCCCTTCGTTTACCACACCACTGTGGTGCGGTTATGAAAATAGAATGAAAAGATCTGTAGTACCGTATGTGTAAACTGATCAGATTTTGACTAGTGCGCCATTGCATTCACGAAAATCCTACAAGTGTGCAGCAGGTGCGCGAAATTTCTATCCCAATAAAACTCGCAAGGTTCCTTATACAATTTTCTAAGAGGATTCAAACGCCAGAGCAGTATTTTTTCTTCTCAGTGGACTGTATCCCCCCACTGAAAGCCACATCACACGGTTTGTCAGTTTCTCGGGGTCTGCCCACTTTAGACCAAGTGGCGATGTCGCGTGATGACGTCATAATTTCAAAAATTTTGGTGAGCTGTGATGTCAGCTAATAGATGATTTTTTTTAGCACTTGTGTAGACTGTGATGAACACTTTTTTGTTCTTTATGAGGCCTCAAGCTTTCCCAATCATGTGTACTGTGCTGTTTATTTTGTAAAAGCATGCCAACATTGATTTTTCGTACTAAATTTATTGTTTGAGGTTCCTAATATTTTCACACCTCTAAAATTTTATAAAAAAATAGCATTACTGAAGCACGCCAGGAAAGTGCTGCTGTTTGCGTGATAATTATACGAGTAGGGTATACTTCGGGAGAGTACAGTCAATTGAGAGATATGAATTGTTGAAATAAGCCTGTATAGTAAAAAACTTGTAGTATTTGTGAATATATGTATATTCAATATTACACTCAGTGACAATCACTTATCTAAATGTTATAGTCTCACTTAATCACTGTTCTTTGAGTTTCATTGCTTCCTTCATGTGTTCGCTTGTGAATAGGACAATTTAGTTTCTCAGGTGGTGGTTGGAAATGAAGCACGGATTTCGGATGCACATGTGCCAAGCGATTTTTCAGGCATGTTTTCGGGTCTCGACTTTTGGCCTGTACAGATAAGTTCGGTTTCTTCTAGAAAGTACCCTTACTCATTTTAT